TCCTTATCTATAAAACGGGAAATAATAACAATACCTACTTCACAAAATTGGAGGAAATTATAGATGTAAAATGTTTGTTTAGCACGGGGCTTCAATTACAGTCATTATCCAAGAAGTGTAGCTATTGTGCGTATAATTGTTATTGTTCCTACAGATCTGCAGTCGATTATCTTTTATTTCATCCAAGGAGTTCTTACCCATTTCTAGCAGAGGTGATTGTTAATGGCCCAAAGTTAATCACGGGTCTTCGGATCTTGGAGTCTGGAATCCAGCAAGGAGACCTGTTCCCTGGGACAGCCAGATGCTGGTGCTTTGATTTAGTGCAGTCGCTCTCAGATTTGCGCCATTTGTTCAGGAATCTGCACACCCGACCGTAGCAATTTCCAGTTTTCCTTGCCCAAGTCTTAATTAGTTGGCACTTCCCTGTCTGGTGTCAGTAAGTGTGGCCCTGTTGCCTCGCACTGGCCCATGACGCTTGAGCCCCAGAGCTGGTGTCACCCCCAGGAAGAAGCTGGAGAGCCGGGCCGCGAGCGCATCCCTGCACCGGGCGGTGGTGCCGGGACAGCGGTGGCGGCTGCCCGCTTAGGCCCGGCCTGAAATGAAGACGACACGGAGAAGTCGCTTCTGCGGCACGACGGATGGACGGACGGGGCGTGAGAGCGGATGAGTTCTGCTGCCCTAAACCGGGTTCTCTCCTCCGCAGAAGACGCTAGCTTATCCTGACTAAGCTGGTTTTCTCTTTAAACTCCATGGGGAAAAAATGTATTATGGGTGGCAGTATATAAGATACATAGCTCTTTGCATGTGCCAGTAATTTTATTTTACTTTACCTTTTAATCTTGATCCGCGTTGGCACGTGTTCGCGGTACATAAAGATTGCATTCCTCGCGTCCAGTAGGTCCCGGCACGCAACCGCTCGCTCGATTCCTCTTTCACTCACTTCCCTCCAGTGCCGCTCCCTCCATCTCCTCAGTCCTTTCCTGTCTGCAAGAGACTCAGCTCCCACTCTCCTCTTACCTAACTTTCATTTTGCTTTTTAATTTCTATGTAAGGTTGTGTGTCTGGTTTCATGACTATGCGTAATGTTTTATTATATGTTAGTATCAAGAGATTGAACGCCAGTAGGTTTATGTAAATAATCCCCAGTTAGGTTTCTTTTATTACTATTTTTTATTTATATTCATTTAATTTATTTTATTTTAATTTTTTTTGGTACCGGGGACTGAACTCAGGACCCTGCGCTTGCCAGGCAGGCGCTTATTCTACTGAGCTATCTCCCCAGCTGGTTTCTTTTAAAAGGAAGTTCCTTTGCATTTCACACAGAGGAAGCCAGCAATGCTAGTATTATCAGGCCATCGGATTATCTTCTGCATAAGAGTTAACAGTGGAGGGGCCTGGGAGATAGCTCAGTGGAATAAACACTTGCCTGGCAAGTGAAAGGACCTGGTTCCGCAAAAAACAAAAACAAAAACAAAAACAAACAAAAAAAAAAAAAACCCAGTGTGTCAGGCCTGCCCAGTAGGTCCCTCTAGACTGTGCCTGGAGGCTGGAAGGAGCTTGTGAGAGAGGGTGCCCCAGCCACCTCCGCTGCCCGGTCCACTGTGAGAGAGGACCTCGTTCCGCGCTCTGCTCCCTCGTGATGTCGCAGTTATAAACAGTGCTGCGGAGTAAGTCTCAAAGAAGATCTGTTGAATATCAATATATGGAAGTAGTTCACATTTCTTCCAACTGTCTGGACTTTTTCATGTTCAGGTTTTGAAAATAAATGACTTCATTTGGGCCATTGTTTTTAAAATGTCTTAGTATTAAGGTTTACATTCTGCTGTTTTGTTTTTGCTTTCCTTTTGTGGTACTGGGGATTGAACCCAGAGACTGCTATGTCTTGAGCCCTATTTTAAATTTTTATGTTTATTTTTATTTATTTATTTATATTTTTTTAAGGAACCGGGAATTGAACTCAGGCTACTGCGCTTGCCAGGGAAGCACTTATTCCACTGAGCTATTTCCCTAGCCCTTTTTATATTTATTTATTTCATTTATGCATTTGGTACAAGGTCTCACTATGCAGCTTGGATTTATAGTGATCCTCCTGTTTTCAGCCTCTCCAGCACTGGGATTACAGGCGCCCGCCACCACACCCAGACTCTGGCTCAGGGCGCCCCAAGGGCGGGGCCAGCACGGCATGTGGGACCCACGATGGAACCCTGGTCCCTGTGTTTGCCAAACAGGCATTTAGTCCGCTGAGTTATCTCGCTGGCCCTAAATTTTTATTTTTAGACAAGATCTGGCTAGGTTATCCATGCTGGCCTCAAAATTACAACCCTCCTGCTTCAGCCTCCTTAGTGGCTACAATTATAGCAATGTGCCTCACACATTTATTATTTTGTAATGCTTTACATGTGATGTTGCACCCCTGTTCGGGCTACTTTTTTATATTTTTTACATCAGATTTTATTTCACCTGATTAGTTCATCTGAACCTCTAAAATGACATTATAAAATACCTTAATTATTTAAATTGGGAACAGATTAATTATCTCCAGTGTACAAACTCAAATTAATTTCATTGCAAACTGGAGGTTTAGACTGATTAATCGTGGAGTGTTTAAGGAGCCAAGTCGTTTTTGTTTCTGTTTTTCCTTTCTTTCATTCTTAAGGCAAAGATGTACCGGATTCGATTCAATAGATTTCCACCAGATCTGCTAACAGGAACAAGAAACATGAAAAGAAACTTGAGGTGCATTTTATAAGCCAGCCAGAAACCCCTGTGTCTGAGGCTTGGGGGTGGGGGAGCAATCTGTGAGGCATTTTAAAAAACAAACACACTCCTAATCACAGTGCGTGTTGTTACCATGGTAATTAGGCCTGTTGAGCTGGCTTGCTTATGTTTCCGGAGAGAGAACAGGGAATAAAATCGGACAATTCAGAGCATTGACTGTTAGCTCCAAGTTGCCTGTTGCAGGAGAGTTTGGGGCTTTTCTGAGAGCACGTGCACGGGCACCCTGAGAGGTGAGGGAAGGGGCCCCCGCGTCTCGCCTTGGTTATGGAATAGAAGACAGCCACGTTATTCTTGGGCATCACATTTCACAGGGCAGAAAAGGACCAACTAGCATTCTCTTGGGAAGGAGGGGGAAAATAGTTTGTTCCTTGATACACAATTACAGGCAAATCTCGGAGGTCAACCTGCTGAACAGGAACCAGGCTCTGATGATCCTTTAGCCGGTGCCAAATGCCATCGGCGGTGCCAAATGCCATCGGCGTAGCACCGTTGTAGCTTTAAATGATCCTCGGGGCATTACCCTTATACAGTTAGAGGGCGGTTGTAATTAGACCATTGTTTCTGATCTGATTCACAAGTACACCCAGTGTCTATGTTTTATGGACTGGGTATGACTCCTAACCATAGGCAACATCTTGCAACACGGGCTCACGGGTCACCAAGGAGACAAGGGAAGTTATGGGATGTCTGCTGAATCTCTTGGGGTGTCAGGGAGAATAAAATCAAAGCACACCTTTGGGTGGTGGCATGCCAGTGCTCTTGGGCCAGTGGAATGACTGAAGAAAGAATTAAACACAATAGTTCACCTGAGGAGAAAATGCAGCAGTTCGGAGCAGAGAAAATTGTTTTTAAAACTGTTTCTAAATTCAGTTTAAGGGCCAGTGAGATAGTTTAGCAGACTAAAGCACCTGCTTAGGCAAGTGCAGGGACTGCAGTTCAATCCCGGCACCACATGCTGCGCCAGTCCCACCCCTAGGGCACACTGAGCCAGCCACAGAGACCGGCCAGGGTGGTGTACACCTGTAATCCTAGCACTGGGGAGGCTGAAAGCGGGAGGATCACTAGGAGCCCGAGCTTCGTGGTGAGATCCTGCAACAACCAAATACATTTAAAAAAAAAAAATTCACTCTAAGAAATCCGGATAGCCTCTTAAATGTATAATTTTTTTTTTTTATTTTGCGGAACCGGGGATTGAACTCAGACCCTTGCGCTTGCCAGGGAAGTGCTTATTCCACTGAGCCATCTCCCCGGCCCTTAAAATGTATAATTATTATGTATTGACTGAAATTTTATTCTTAGAGCATATTTCAAGCAGATTTTAAAGCAGGCTTTATTTAGCATCGAGATGACTTTTCTTTATTAAAAAATATTTTTTTGCAAAAGCTTTGAAATAAAGTGAGGTGTGACTAAAGGGTGTTGCATGGTCTAGGGTGGCTTTCCATTGGAGACCCCACTATAACCAGCTGGAAGTAAAAACGCTGGAAGGAGAGGAAGGCATTACCCAGAAGTTCCATGTGTCGCTTTAGCTTCCTTCCCACTGCTACTGATCACATTAGCCACATACCTAGCAGCAAGGGAGGCTGAAAAAATAAATAGCTATTTTTAGCGTATACATGCATAGCTTAGACTTCTATTGAAAACATGGCAGAAAAAGAGAGAAGATTTGGGGACATAGTAACCCTTTCTGCCAATTTCATTCCCCTGTAAAACAGGCAATATTTTGTTGACATGTTGATGTATTTTTCTTCCATTTTTTTTCCTGAAAAGTATGTATGTTTCAGACAGGTATCTTGTATAATGCATACTAGAAAACATTATATTTGCACATAGTATATATGGGTGTATAATATATAAAATGTTCTATTAGCATGTATATATGTATCATATATTAGAAAGTATTATATATGAAAATAGAAATACAATAAAAAAAAAGAGTAGAAAAATATCATGTACTACTTACCTTTGGTGTACATTGCATGAACACCTGAAAATTTATTTATTTTTTTTTAACGTGTCATCATGCTGTATTACTGAGTACAGATGATTTCTCTCCTGTCACCTAGAGACCATTTCACCCACTGCTCTGCTTGGCTGCTAGCCTCTTGTCTCTCTCTTCA